AAATAATTTACTTTTGTGCGCGACAACACCAGTACTGTCTCTTATACACATCTAGATGTGTATAAGAGACAGACCCTATACAGTTTCCATTTCCACCGCTCAACGATGGTTTCAACGTTTTCGTTCTGGTTAGAGGTGGTCGAAGATGCGCCACGCTCCGGAAGGCCTGAATTGGTCGAAAGAGAGCGGCATAGTAGCAGCCGTAGCATCGGTCAAGAGCTGGGCATGAGTCATCAAAAAAAATTTTATGAAAAATTGAAAATTCAATAAAAAATACCATAATTGTAATAGTTGTGAACAAAAATTGTGTATTGTTATTAACCGAATACTCTCTTTAGCAACATGTTGCAAGAGTGTAAGTTTAAACGCAAGAAGCCGCATCATTTTATGTAATCTATACCCGGAGTACCATGAATTTATTTCTATTATACTATAAGCAAAACTTATTTTTCGTTAGTCTATATTTTGTTGTCTAATTAACTATAATGGCATGGCATGAAAATATATGTATCTATGTATATATTTTGATAAAATATCTCTCAAATAACTGTTGCCGTTAAAATGTTAAATAATTATTCCAGTTTACTTTGTACCTTTATCGGTCAATGTGGTAGCTACATATCTTAGTACATTTTTATATATAATAGTTATGTTCAACTAATGTTTGTACGAATAACCTAAAACTTACCGAGATATAGGTTTTTGTATATATAAATGATAAGGTTGACGAGAAAAGTTGAAATCCGGGTGACTAAATATTGAGATATCTTGTTGAAACTTGGTGTAGAGGTTCTTTAGTACAGAGAAATAAAAGTTCGTAGATGGGCGTAATCGCACCACTGCCACGGCCATAAAACGTCATTAACCCAAAACCTATAAAGTGTCATAATTAAGCCCTAAATTAAGATATAAAACTGTAATTTGGCACAGAGGATTTTTTTTAAAAAGTGGGCTTCACCACGCCCTCTACGATGTTTACTGTATATACAGCGGTGGTCATATACTTAGTACACTCGTACTTTTTAGAAAAAATATTCCATAAAATTAATTTCTTTACTAAAAACTTAAATATTTTCACATATGTATATTCATATTTCACAGAGAGATTAACTTAAATAATAACATAAAGGACGATGTAATTAAAA